TCATGAAAGCGAATGGCTGGGTACTTGTGACCCGAAAGATGACCAAGAAAGGTCATAACGTGAGGGAGTATGTTCTCTCTAAAGAATGGCATCAAAAGAAAAGAGATAGATCATTGAGAGTCTTGGTTGATGAATGTCTTTCATGTACTCTCTATGAAGAAGATTTTTCATTCAACATGATTTGAGATGAAACAAGCAACATGCGTGTTTAATTTGACCAACGTCGGATCAAGCATGTGTGTCAAAGAGCATTCAGATTTATTCCTAAATTTGATGATTGAATATGCAGTCAAAAGAGCCAATTCTGGCATTTATGTTCCCTTACAGGGAATTACCCGCATGGCAGGAAAAGATGATTATGATAAAACTTGTATGGCGGGAAAGGTCTGGGAAAATACCTGCGTAATGGGGTAAAGCTGACATAATATTATGTCAAAAATCTCGTATGGCGAGAGAAATTTTGGAAAGAGAAAGATATGATAACTCATGTGCTTTTAATGTATCCCACTCTGGGAGAACAGAATGGAGTAGCTGAAAGGCGCAACCGTACACTTATGGATATGGTGCGCAGTATGATGAGTTATTCCAACTTGCCATTGGGATTTTATGGATGAAGGTCCTTAAAACCGCCATTCACATTCTCAATAGAGTACCAAGCAAGTCGGTGCCCAAAACACTGTACCGGCTATGGATAGGAAGGGTGCCCTCCCTACAACACTTCAGTGTGTGGGGGTGCCCTGCTGAGGCCAAAATGTTTAATCCAAACATTGCAAAGTTAGATCCCAAAATAGTGAGTTTCTACTTCATTGGCTATCCAGACAGATCAAAGGGTTTTTGTTTCTACTGCCCATACAGATATACAAAGTTTGTAAAAACAAGACATGCAGCCTTCTTAGAGGACGAAATGATGAGGGGGGCTTGGTAGCTCGAAAAATTGATCTTGAGGAGAAGAGGGTGCATGCACCTAATTCGATGATTCAGGAGCCATTTTTCTCACTACCAGTTGCAACTCCACCCATGACAACTATGGGAGTAGACCCGGAACCTGTCCGTCAGGAGCCGACTGAACCCATTGTTGAGCATGAAAGGGAGGTGCAGCAGCAAATTTTAGAAGAAGTGCCAGAAGTTGAGGCATAGAATGTGCCAGAAACTGAGGCCCTTAGAAGGTCTACAAGACCAAGAAAGTCATCTATTTCTACTGACTTTAAAGTTTATAACACAGAAATAGTTCATACAGAAAAAGATCCCACCTCATATGAAGAAGCCATGAGAAGCCCTCATTCATCGAAGTGGATGAAGGAAATAGAAGACGAGATGAAATCGATGAGTTCCAAAGATGTTTGGGACTTAGAGGAAATTCCTAAAGGAGCCAAAACAGTAGGCTACAAATGGGTCTACAAAATTAAGTATGACTCTAAAGGGAATGTAGAAAAGTATAAAGCACGACTCGTGGCAAAAGGATTTACACAAAGAGAAGGGATAGATTACAATGAGACATTTTCTCCAGTCTCATGTAAGGATTCCTTCAGAATCATAATGGCATTAGTTGCTCATTTTGATTTAGAGTTACATCAAATGAATGTTAAGACGGCATTTCTGAATGGTGACTTAAAAGAAAAGGTCTACATGAAACAACCCAAGGGTTTTATCATGGAAGGCAAGGAAAATATGGGATGCCGCGTGAAGAAATCCATTTATGGATTAAGACAAGCCTCTAGACAGTGGTATCTAAAGTTTAATCAAACGATTAAAAGTTTTAGATTTAAAGAAAATATTGAGGATAATTGCTTGCTAGCAGTGATGTTAGTCTACTACAAGAAACAAAAAAGTTCTTATCATCAAATTTTGACATAACAGATCTTGGTGAAGCATCATATGTTTTGGGCATAGAAATTCACCGAGATAGAAACAATGGAGTCTTAGGACTATCGCAGAAAGCATATTTAGAAAAGGTTCTTAAAAAGTATAATATGCATGCGAGTAAAGCCACACCTGCTCCTATAGTTAAGGGCGATAGTTTTGGGAAATTCCAATGTCCCAAGAACCAGTACGAGATCGATCAAATGAAAGCAGTACCATATGCTTCGGCAGTTGGCAGCTTACAGTATGCACAAGTGTGCACTCGCCCTGACTTAGATTTTATCACCGGGGTACTCGGTAGATATCAAGAGAATCCAGGCATAGAGCACTGGAAGATGGTAAAGAAAGCATTACGTTATGCGCAAGGCACGAAGGACTACATGCTAATATACAGGAGAAGTGATTCCCTAGATATAAAAGGGTATTCAGACGCAGATTTTGCGGGGGACAGAGATGATAGAAAATCCACGTCAGGATACGTCTTCACTCTCGCCGGGGAGCTATTTCGTGGAAAAGCTCCAAATAGTCGATAGTTGCATCATCCATGATGTATGCAGAATTCATAGCATGCTTCGAAGCCACGGGGCAGGCGATATGGCTAAAGAAATTTGTACCCGACTTGAAAGTGGTAGATTGTATTCACAAACCACTAAAGATGTATTGTGACAACCAGCCCGCAGTATTCTATGCTCACAACAACAAGTCAAGTAATACTGCCAAAACAATAGAGATAAGGTATTATGTTGTGAAAGATAAAATCCAGGATCAAACTATAAGTCTCGAGCATATAAGGACAAAAGGTATGCTTGCGGATCCGCTAACGAAAGGCTTACCACCCAATGTGTTCAAGGAGCACTTAGCCGGCATGGGTTTAAGGGAAAACCTTATGATTTCTGGATAGGTCCAAAAGGAACAGAATTTGCTTTTGAACATAACGTATGTTGTAGCTGTATGGTTCTAACGGCAATTAAGCTGTGACGATGAAACATGCTCTATGTACCAATATCTGATGAAACAAATAAACTAGAAAGTATAAAGTTAAAAGTAAAGTTGAGATCAAGGGGGGGAATGTTAGGTTGATCTCTCTCCCGTTAGAACCCAACGGGTCAAACGGGCCCCTGACTCGCCCCCCGATCAGGGGCGCCCAACCAAACCATGGTTGGTGGGCCCCTGTGACCCGCGCTATATAAACAGAGGTGAGGGGCCGGGGCACGAATTACGAGGTTAATCGATGCCACAATCCCCACCTACAATCCCTATCGATCGGTTAGGGTTAGGAATTCACGGTGAACCTACCTTCTGCCTGTCCAGACGAGCTCGATCCAGAGCCGACCATGGTGATGTGGTGATGGCGGCGATGTGGACAGAGAGTAGATGGCAGCGGTGGTGGAGCTTCCCGTGAGCACCGCGCTAGCCCTAAATCGGTAGGGATTGTAGGTGAGGACTGTGGCAGCGATTAACCTCGTAATTCATGCCCCGGCCCCCACCTCTGTTTATATATCATCAACATGACGAGACTCCTTTAGGAAAATATGCCAAGACTCCTCCACAACCTGTGTACACCGATCATGTCGAGTCCATGCATTCTCGAAGCGGAATGGTCTATCTCCCCGTTCATCCTCAATCTAATCTGACCTCCACAAAAATAATCATTGCACAACGATCTGATTCAGTACACTGTATGTGGCTAACAATTGTATTATCAAAGCCACTTGTAAACTTATCGTCTCCCAAAACTCTATCAAGCCGAACCTTGATATTTCCATTCCCTTGTTATCTATTGTCCCACTAGATGATCAGTTGCGTCATTGGCACAAAGACCAACCACAGCCACAAAGTAAAGCAACGTTGAGACCGGGGTCTACTCCAACTAGTATCTATGCGATGGTATGCCAAACAAACATTAGACTATGGCATGCCATAGGAGGGTCCACCGAACCGAGAGGAAACCAAGCGAAGCTGCATGCTGTCAAGACGACATCTGTGTGGGGTTGTGCGGGCCTGGACAACATGTTGCATGCCTGGGCGCGGCACGGTGCTTTCATCAGGCTTTGCCTGCCCGTACCCACATCAAGCAACACTCAGGTTTGTTATCTATCTGATCCGCTTACTATGGGCAGCGGAAAAAATATGTTTGGCTAACTTTAATGTCCCTTTGTGGATCATTGGGCATCATATGACCACGGCAGTGTGGGCTCGATCTATCTGAAACGATGTATCCCTGGTCAGCTATGGTATCCACGAAAGGGAAGTACGTAGGACATACACATATACCTGCACTCGTTGTTCGTGCCGAAGCTCTCTTTCGCTCTTTCACATGGTTATGGCTCAGTCACAAGGATTTTTGGTTTGGCCAGAGACCTAATCACCCTTGCTAGTTGGACATGCCTTGGTCAACTGTGCCTGGTTTGAACTACATGTCATTAGCGCGATCATCGGTACACGTCACAAGATTCACCCACCGCCGCCCATTGTGGCCACCGGAGGCAGGGGGGAGGCAGTGTGGGGTGCGCTAAGGAAGTTAAAGGAACAAGAAATAACACAAGTCCGGATCCCGGAGCTCATTGGGGTCTTTGTAGATGAACAGCAACACTCATGGCCTGTTTTTTTGGGACGTTTAGATCACTAGAGTAGTGATCTAAACGCTCTTATATTTCTTTAGAAAGTGTTTCAAAAAAAAAATCTTTAGAGAGGGAGTGACGAACCTTCTCAAACAAAAATACCACATCCAGACAAGCCCGGGGCTGTTTTGTTGAATCGATCGTGATTCAAACAGAATGGACACGTTTCATATGATGATTCAACCATTAACAAGAAAGCAAATAACTATGAACATACTGCACCATTCATCTTAGCTAGCACACTACACTATCGAGTAACTGAAATTGACAGTGTATTTTGCAGAGTAATCGAAATTGACAGTGTATATCGCATCCAACGGTACCCTCTTGAGTTACAAGATTGGTTGCACATTCCACCATTAACAGCAACCAAATAAGGTTCAGCTAGTAAGAAACATAGTTCCATCGTGATTCATTCAACAACCAAGCCGGTGCAGAAAGCATAATATCCAGGTAGAGACAGGTTTACTGTTTATTTCTTAGTACAAACTACATTACTGTGAGCTCAACAAGTCAGATTCACTGGCTGCTAGATTCGTCATGCTCTGGCTGCATCTGGTTCAGCACAAAAGCTCCCTCGAGGTTCTTATGCACCTCGGCTTTCATTTTCTCCTCCTTGGTCCCTCTCTTCAGTTTCATGAGGATATCAAACTTGGCGAAGTCTTCAACCACCTGGTCATGGTAGCAGCAAGTAAAGCTGGATGAATATTACTACTCGTGAAGGAGAGTTGAAGTAGAAGAACAATTACATAAAACAAACCTCAGCCTTTGCGCGAACGATTTCAACAAGTTCATATGGGAGAAGGGAATTCGACCTCTGCTGGATTGATTTCACAGCATGGCTTGCAGCATCTTTGACTACAGGATCATGCACAGGCACATCACGCCATCCAGGCTCATGTCCCCCTGAAATTGGTTTGAGTTCAATACAAGTACTTGATAAGACCATATTACGGGAAGCTAAACTATATAAGACCTAACATGTAACACAAGTTCATGTCTACTATTACCATCCATATCATATGCAACATCTGATATTCAATGACTTCCTAATTTAACCACTTGGCATCAGGTTTTATCTTGTTCCCTGTTACAAGACCCGAGCAGAAAAAGTGAACATGCCAAAGAAGAAAATAGGCTGGTATGACGTTCGATGCCACTTCAGAAAGAATATGTGAAGTTCTTACAGAAAGAAGCGTCATACAGTTAGAACATGGCTTTTCTCAATAACACTTCTTTACCCCAACCCCCTCTGCTCACCAATACTTTTCTGATTGTTCCTGAACTATATAGGGACACGGGAAATAGGGAGACTGTAACAAACTACTTGAATAATTTGGACAGATGCCAAGATAGTGTGCAACATCCAGTTATCCACTTTTATACTTCTTCTAAAATCAGTTCGTGTATCAGGTTACATGAACAGAACGCCTTTACTGTCTGAAATTAGGAACATTGTTTCAATGCTGGGGTGAACTACAAACTGGTATGAACACCTGCCAAGTCGTGGCAAATATTTACACTTACGTGAGCTAATACTTGAATTTCATTTGGCAATCAAGACGTCCTGATGTGAACATAACACTACGTAACCTGATCATGATAGTCAAACTACTACATACTCACTTCATGAAGTTTTTTTGGCAACATACGATTTTCTACCATATGAAAGTAACTATGAAAATAACAACTTGTGTGCCTGCATTTGAACCAAATGTCCTGATCATCAGAATTATGTTCATTTTGATGAACTCAACAAGTCGACAACACTTCGTAGACCACACATCAGCTGTCAAATTTCGACGAACAATTATAGCCGTCTAACTAACTCCCAATCCAGAAATTAGCGATAAAGCAAGTGTTCATGTTACCTATGGTTTGGGCTTTACCATGATAGATGGTCATCATCATTGGTACGTAAACTATTTTCACGAACTCACCTAATATGATGGCCTTCTCTTTAATGCATAATTGACATGAGCTGGAGCAGTCTAGTGATTTTGTTCTATTGTTTGATTATTAGTTGAAGCTCCAAGGATACTACTATCATAAAGCAAGACTTAACATGTGGAGGAGACTGGTTTGTTGGATAAGCCTAGAAATCCCAAATACTAGAGCAGCAGGTTATCATATTATTGTGCTAAAAATTGATTCCAAGCTATCATCCCCCAACCCCGTTTGGGTGATCTGGAACACTGATTTTAAATGAAACCACCTGAACGAACACACATGTTGTTCGGAAGGAGCATATCGGATACTAGGCAATGGGCATTTCTACAAACACCTACGACTCACCGCATCAAGTACTCTTAATAAATCACACACATATATATATAGGAAAACACAAGCAGCAGCAAGCAACGGACAGATCGCACCGATGAAACCAGCGGGAGCGTACCTCTCTTGGCGCCGAGGTCGGAGATGGTGAAGGAGGTGGCGTCCCCGGTGTGGCGGAACTCCTGCAGCTCCTTGAAGTCGAGCCACGGCTTGACCCAGACCTTGGCCTCGTACAGCTTCTTCCGGCCGGCCTCGAGCGCCTCGAGCGTGAGGTGATGCACCGTGCCGGCCACCGTCTGCTCCTTGGCCTCCACGACCCGCACGAACTCCAGCAGCGCGTTCTGCAGCGCCACCACACACACACACACAACTCACATATCAGTACCCAAATCGACCGCGGCAGTTCATCACAGCAGCAAAAATAGCAGACCATCCGAGGAGGGGAGAAAAAGGAGAGGATGAGTAGTCAAATCGCGTCACCTCGCGCTTGTTGTGCTCGTCGACGGCGAAGCGGGCGAGGCCGTCGGTCTCGAGGCTGTTGGCCGCGGCGGGGTTCTCGCTCTTGCCGCCGAGGACGTGGCTGGCCATGGCTCCGATGGCGAGGGAGGCGGAGCCGACGAGGAAGAGGAGGGCTAGAGCGGCGAGGAGGGCAACGGGAGCGGAGGAGGCGGGCCGCGTCGCAGCAACGCGCATGCTCTGCCGGAGGAGTCCTTTGCGGTTTCGCTTTGCTTCGTGATGACTGCGTGTGCGTGGGTGGGGTTTGGATTCTGCACCGAGGAAGGGATAAGGAACCGAAGTAAGCAACGCAAGGGGCGTGGAGTCGGGGTCTCGTCCCTCCCTCCCGTCGGCGCGGGTCAGGCCGGTTGCGGTAGTGGGATGTGTTGCGACGCGTGGAGGCTAGGCGCGGGATCCACGGATGGACGGTGCCAGCACGTTGCTTAGGATGTAAGCGATGAAAGGAATTAAAATTGCTTTTGCTGGTAGGCCGGAGTAGCCGGGACAGCTTCTTCTCGTTTTGGCAAATTTTCTTGCAAATCGCTACAAATTTAACGTCAGTTTTTCTAAAAAATAGTAATTAACGTCAGATATTTAGGTATGATATAAATTTGATGAGATTTTAAGCATCGCAAATCTGATGCCTAAGAATGGGAAATTGCGAGCATGGCAATTTTCACCAGCAAACATGTTAAATCATTGTCAGGTTTGAAAATATGACATTAGATTTATCATGCTTAAAAATATGATGTCAGACCGATATGTCATTATGATCCGAAAGTACGTGAGAGAAACTAAAAGACTCCTTTTACATAAACAACCCAGAAAAACATTAAAAATACATTGAAGCTTATAAGAGACATGTGTGTGAAGCGATAACACGAGTCAGTACTAACAACTGGCTTTGCAACATCCCTAAAAAGAACTTGCGTTGCAACAAGGGACGTGAATGTCACACATGTATACGCACATGCTTGTGTCAGTGATCAAGAGGAGCGCCAAGGTGGAGTTCAAACTAAAGGCCGGCCCAAGAGGCAGCCTCGCCTACCCGCTCGGCTAGCTGGGCCTGAGTGGGCCTGACCAAGCGGTACTTATACCTCTAACTAGGATAGACTGAGCTGGCGATTGGTATAACGGCTAGTGGTGGCGTGTGTGGTGTGAGCTCCTGCGCAAGCCAGATCCGTCATGTACCTTCCTCCTCCCCCCCCCCTAGCTCGAATTCTATAGCAATGGCTTGAATACAAACCCTAGCCCTCACAATCTGGTATTAGAGCCGTTCTTAGCCCTGGATATTCCAATCCACCACCGTCACACCCGATTCGCCACCCGCCGTCGCGCCGAGGCCATGGAGAAAATTTCTCCGAAAACCAAGGCGATTTACGAGCTTCTTCGGGCCGATTTCGATGCCGCCTTCTCCAGGAGCTCGGCGGAGCGCAGCGAGGAGATGACCACGGCCCTCGCCAAGCTCGACAGCAAGCTGGATCAGCTTTCGGGCCGCATCGACGACGTCAAGCTCGCGATCGGCGTCGACCTCGACGAACTCCGCGGTGAGATCGGGGTGGACCGAAGCACCACAGCGTGCCCCACCGCCCCTTCGTCTCCGCGAGGATCGACACCGCCGACCAAGGGCACACCTCCGAGCAGTGGATCGGGAGGATCTGAAAATTTCCACGGCGAAGCAGATCACCGGGGAGCAGTTCCAAAGTACGTGCCCCCACCAGCACGAGGTATGCCGTCAGAACCCAACCTCTCGAGGCAGATCGTTCAGGCTCCTGAATTGTTTCGTCCGCTCCAGTCTAAAGTTGTTGGGTTTGGTCCTCGGATGGAGTTGCCGCGTTTCGATGGCTCGAATCCCAAGCTCTGGCAATCGCATTGTGAGGACTATTTCAAATTGTGGAGCACTCTGCAGCATTAGTGGGTGTCGTTTGCTTCTACTCAGTTCGAGGGCACATCGGCGCATTGGTTGGAGTCGATTCAGCGTCGTGCTCCGCATGTCAATTGGCCTGAATTTTGCAACCTGCTGCAATCCAGGTTTGGCAGGAACAAACACCAGAATCTGTTGCGCCAGATGTTCAACATTCGGCAGACTAGTTCAGTCGAAGAGTATGTGGAGCGATTTTCAGAACTGTATCATCAGCTGACTGCTTATGAGACAAATCCAAACACGATGCATTACGTCACCAGATTCATGGAAGGGTTAGTTCCATCAGTTCGCTTGTTGGTTGGAATTCAGCAACCTGAGGATTTCGATTCAGCATATGCTCTAGCCTTGTTGTTTGAAGAGCTGGGTGAAACTACTACGTACTCTAGCAGTACAAACCATGAAAGCAAACGCCACACCTACTCTAGCTCTCGATCGTCAGTGAACAAGGTTCCGGAAGACAAGAAAATCACTGAACCAGCTCGTGCTGCCCCAACTGAAGATCAATGGGCTGCTCTGCGTGCTTACAAAAAGTCCAAGGGTCTGTGTTTCATATGTGGAGAACGATGGGCCCGTGATCATCGCTGCAAACAGGAAATTCAGTTGCATGTGGTACATGAAATGTTGGATTATGTTCAGAACATGCCCTCTGATCTGAGTGACTCTGAAGAAACAGTTGTTGGTGAGGTCAATGCTATCTGTCTTTCTGCAGCTGCCTTAGGAGATAATTCAGATCCAGCAGTGTCAACTATGAAACTGAAAGTGTATTTGCAAGGGCAACCCTTAATTTTTCTGGTTGATTCAGGCAGTACTCATTTGTTCATTGACTCCACAGTTGCAACTACTGTTCAGGGCATTTCTTCCTTGCCAGTTTATATGGTTAAAGTGGCTAATGGAAGTTTGGTCCCATGCTCTCAACAATTGCTGGATGGCAAGTGGTCCTGTGCTGGTAATGAGTTTGTCAGTAACTTCAGGGTTTTTCCTTTGTGATCTTACCATGGAATTTTGGGTTTGGATTGGTTAGCTACTCACAGTCCTATGCAAATAGATTGGGTTGCACATTGGTTGTCCTTCCAGCACTCAGGGCAACAAATTACTCTGTTGGGTCAGGATGATGTCCCTCAAGTCTATGCTCTGGTAGAAATGTCAGCCCTGTTGGTAACTGAAGATATGGCAGTATCTGAACTGCCCTCTAAAATCCAAGCACTGTTGACTAAATATGCTCCTGTGTTTGAAGCTCCCTCTGGTCTCCCTCCAAGAAGAAAGTATGACCATGAAATTCCTTTAGTTCCTGGAGCTCAACCTGTGCCCAGCAGGCCCTATAGACTACCTCCTGCTCTAGAAGATGAAATGGAAAAGCAAGTGAAAGAAATGTTGGATGCTGGAATTATTAGACCCAGCACCAGTGCTTTCTCTTCTCTAGTTATATTAGTGCAGAAGAAGGATAAAACTTGGAGACCTGTATATGATTATAGAAAATTGAATGCTATCACAGTGAAGAGCAAATATCCAATCCCTGTTATTGATGAGTTATTGGATGAGTTGTCTAGAGCTTGTTGGTTTTCCAAGTTGGACCTTCGAGCAGGTTATCATCAGATCAGGTTGGCCCCTGGGGAAGAACACAAAACAACATTTCAGACACATTTTGGCCATTTTGAATTTCTGGTGTTGTCCTTTGGTCTTACTGGAGGACCTAATACATTCAATTTTGCCTTGAATGAGACACTGTCACCCTGTGTCAGGAAATTTGTGTTGCTTCTCTTTGATGATATCCTCATATTTAGTCCTTCTTATGCACTGCACTTACAATTTGGAAGAAGTGTTGAAACTGCTCTTACAACATCAGTGGCAAGTGAAACTGTCAAAATGTGCTTTTGCACAAACTCAGGTTGTTTACTTGGGACATGTCATCAGTGGCCAAGGGGTAGCTACTGACTCTTCCAAGATTTCTACTATTCAGAACTGGCCAACACCTGTGTGTGCTAAGGAAGTCAGGGGATTTTTGGGCCTGGCTGGGTATTACAGGAAGTTCATAGCCCACTATGGTATGCTGAGCAAACCTCTTACTAACCTTCTCAAAAAGGGAGTCCCATTTCTGTGGACATACAATGAACAACAAGCCTTTGTGCTTCTGAAGCAAGCTCTGACATCAGCCCCCAGTACTGGCCTTACCTGATTTCTCCAAGAAATTTATTGTGGAGATAGATGCCTGTGATGTAGGAAATTGGGGCAGTACTTATGCAGGAAGGCCACCCAATTGCTTATGTAAGCAAAGCTCTTAGGCCCAGAAATTAGACACTTTCAGTGTATGAGAAGGAATATTTGGCCATTCTTCTAGCAGTGGAACACTGGCGCCAGTATCTGCAGTTATCTGAATTTATCATCAGAACTGATCAAAGAAGTCTGGCCTGTCTGTCAGAGCAACGTTTGCATACCAGGTGGCAACAGAAAGCACTCACTAAACTACTTGGGCTGCAGTATGCCATTGAATATAAAAAAGGGATTGAAAGTAGTGCTACTGATTCCCTTTCCAGACGACCTGCAACTCTAGGGGACATAATACCAGAACTGCAACATATTTCATCTGCCCAACCTGCTTGGTTGACAGAAGTTTTGAAAAGCTATGATCAAGATCCAGCAGCTCTGGAACTTTTGCAACAGCTATCCACGTCGCCCACTTCTCACAGCAAATTTACTCTCAAAGCTGGTGTAATCAGACAGGGCAAGTGTGTTTGGTTAGGTTGTGACTTAGCACTGCATAGTAAGATATGTGCTGCTTTTCATGACAGTCCACTGGGAGGACATTCTGGGTTTCCAGTAACTTACATGTGTGTCAAGCAGTTGTTTCAATGGAAGGGCATGCGAGGTTTCATTAAAAACTATGTTCAGAGCTGTCTGGTGTGCCAACAGGCCAAACCTGAAAGAGATCCTTCTCCTGGTCTTCTTCAGCCTCTACGAATACCTTCATTGCCTTGGGAAATGGTTACAATGCACTTTGTTGAAGGTTTGCCTCCATCAGGCCGTTACAACTGTTTGTTGGTGGTTATTGACAAGCTCTCCAAGTATGGGCACTTTATTCCCTTGCATCATCCGTTCTCTGTTGAAACTGTTGCTGAGGCCTTCCTGAACACTATCTACAAGCTGCATGGTATGCCCCGCTCCATAGTTTTAGATCGTGATTGCATTTTCACAAGCAAGTTTTGGAGTGAGCTGTTCCAAAAATCAGGCGTTCAGCTTCACATGAGCTCTGCTCGACATCCGCAGCCAGATGGCCAGA